AGTGTCTGACATTTTAAGTAAATCAGAAGTGAATGAAGAATTAACAAATAAGAATAACTTTGTTGAAAATAGTACAGTCATTATGCCATGGTATGAGAGCACTCCAAGTCATTGGATTATAGCTGTTATAAAATTTAAAACAATTTATAATACCAAAAATATACCTGAAAATTCAGGGAAATGTTACATCATAGATCCATACTGTCCAAATTTGGATCCCAATTATAGTAATCAGGCTCGAATATATTCTTCAAGGTTTCAAAAACTAAATAAAGCATTGCATAATCATTGCACTTATAATGGTGGACACATTCCTACTATTACATGGACTCAATATGAAGACATAAACATACTAAGACAAGTTGATAATTATAACTGTGGAGTATTTGTAATTTATTATGCAATTACNAACTGTGGAATATTTGTAATCTATTATGCAATTACTATAATGAACGAGTTGAACTTTGACAGCGAGTTTAATCCAGATACATACAGGATTGAATTAAAAAAATTATTGTTGGAAAACTCAGGAGACATGACAAATATATGTCTATATTGTTCAAAGCATGAAAATAAACACAAAGGAAAATATATGGAATGGGTGTCTTGCAATAAATGTTGTTGGTGGATAGAAATTAATTGTATAACTGGAAACTACAGACTAGACGTNTGTATAACTGAAAACTACAGACTAGACGACTACGTCAATAATGATTTTTATTGTATATTATGTGACGAAGGAAAAGATGAAACAAGAATGTCTTTAAGATTAATGAAACGGTCTCAAAAAAGAAATAATACCTAAAGTAGTAATATAATAAATAATTTAATATTATAATTCATCGGTTATATAGTACATACTAATTAAATTCAGTAGTATTCTGCGGAGTAATGCAAGTGTTAACTATTGTAATTAAGAATTAATATATCAATTTTCGAATAATAATAAGAAAATAATTACAATATTAGAGTTAATATAATCATCATGATAGACCGTTCTTACAGATAAATAGTATTTTGCTTTTACTCTTTTTAAACAAATACTCTTTAAAATATTAATTGTCATTCACATTTTTAGGTTGTTAAAAAATTGTAGGGACTCATTGTAACCACACCTACTATAAGTCATCAATTATTTATAAATGATTTGTAATAGACAGTCCGAAGTCTGGTATTCATTATTTAAATTTATGAACAAATTATGTTCATGAATTTATTAGAATTAACAAGTGGGACGGCATTGAGTGTTTAACAGATTTGACAAAATTTCTTAAAGCATTTTTTCATTAACAAATAATGCTTTTAACAGTGATTTTATTCTAGAGCGTAATTTGGACAAAATTTTTGAAGGGGTCACATTTTTTTTTAAATTCATCTAATTATTAGCGTGTTCGAATTCCTCTTACTTATGCTTTATAAAATATATAGAACTGTGTACTTGGTTTATATGTTTATTAAAATTATTTTATTACACGTAAAATCGTTGACTTGGCGGGGACTCATTTAGTTTTTCTGTAATTTCGTTATAATCATCTATATATTGTTAAATTCCCACTTTTTAATAAAGACGGTATGAAAGTTAAAAAATATAGTTTAAAAAAACTAAAAAAAACACGCTTTTAAAGCACATCGAACTAAAAAGTTAAAAATAATTTTTAAAATAAGCTTAAAACAATAATGAACGAAAAATACTAGTATTATTGTAATAAAAGCGTGGGTGCTTTGTGCCATATTTTTCGTATATTGAGCGCCCGACGCTTTTATCACAATAATACTAGTATTTTTCGTTCATTATTGTTTTAAGCTTATTTTAAAAATTATTTTTAACTTTTTAGTTCGATGTGCTTTAAAAGCGTGTTTTTTTTTAGTTTTTTTAAACTATATTTATTTTTTACGTTTTAGTTTCAAGTTATGATAATAGTTATGGTTGTAACGGGTAACGAGAAATGAGGGTTCGATTCCGGAGAGGGAGTCTGAGAAACGGCTACCACATCCAAGGAAAGCAGCAGGCGCGTAAATTACCCACTCTCGGAACATTGAGGTAGTGACGAAAAATGACGATACGGGAATCATCCCTCGTAATCGGAATGAATACTTTATATCTCTTTATTAGAATAAATCGTGTTAATATATAAATTTTAATAGTAATTAGAATATATATATATAAATAATGCAACTTAAGTACGTAAACGTATCATGCACTAGGTATAACCGTATTTTGTGGGCGGGCGGGTCGGACTAACGTTATACCTGAGGTATAAACGGTGGTAGGAATATATAAATATATATACGTAAGGCGCATTAGTCGCGGGCGGTATTGGTCAGTCAAAATAAAAATTTGTTTATATATATATATATAAATGTAATATTGATGACAAGCACGCGTGCACGGGTACGATAACTAAAAATAAATTTTTATAGGAATAGTGTGCCGTCGTTTGGTGAGCGGGGCGTGGGGAGGGGTGAATGCGTATAACAGTCTAGTCTAGACGACGGAATATGCGATAACGCGTGGCGTTTGAACAGTTACATACATACATACATACATACATACATACATATAGGTGAAACTAATATAAGCGTGTTAAAATGCAATGTTCTACGTCTTAAAAAAAAATTGTATCATACGTTTGTAAATGAAATCGTGGTAGAAAAAATTAAAAACTATTAACGACTTTTTATATTATGCTGATGAATTAATATGTATTGAACGATAAAATATAATAAATTTCAATAACTTAATATAATAGTTCTATTATGTTAAAATTAGATAACTAATTAATGTAAAATGTCGGCTTTCGGGATATGTTATGAAATTACCGGGACTCGTCTACGATTATTGTCATAAATGCAAGTTGATGAGGCCGATACGTGCGTCAATACGTTATCAAACGTATTAGGCAGTTTTTTTTAATTAATTGCAATATTCTATTAGATCGACGAATTAATAACACATTAATCGTCTTAATGTGTTGGTCTAATTAAGACAATTGTCAGAAAAATGTGTAAAATGTTTTTGTTACCTGGTTATGAAGTTTGATTAAATACAACGAGGAAAGACATAAAAAAGCAAATTAACAAAAAATTTTTTTTTATTTTAAAATAAATTAGCAAAAATATTTTTTTTAAAATTATTTTTGATTTTTATTCATTCATCATTAATCTGATTTGATGGCGGCGGCGGCAATCCTGCTGCTAAAAAAAAATAATATATTATTGTTTAAATTAGTTATCTTATATGTATTGTTTTACAGTGGTCCAACGTTTAGGGAATTGAGAAATCTTTTGATAATCCATACTATTAATTTGCTTTATAATTGTATGATTATTGTATTTTTATCATTGTTTCATAAAATTTAAACAGAAAAAAAAAGTTATTAGAATCTTCTATTTCATAAAACCATAATTGTAGCATCCTCTAAAATTTGCACCACTGTAATTTGTATTATTATGTGTGTAAAATGACATAAGCCAACATAAAATTTTAAACTAGATTTATTAAGAGATTTAGTGTTTATTAAATTGAACCTATAAAAAAATGTCTATGTTTTAATATATTTTTTTCCCATATTTAAAACTCATTTAGCAGTTTTTATTAATAAAAAATGTTATAGAACTTAAAATTTTACAATCAAAATTGTTGTTAGTTAGAATTTTTCTTTTAATCAATTGTTTTTTTTTATATCCTTTTTAAGTAGACAATAAAAATGAACATAAACATTTTTTTTTAATTTTTCATTATTATTTTAGTAAAATAATTTAACCTATAATAAAGTTTTTGNTTTTAGTAAAATAATTTTACCTATAATAAAGTTTTTGAAAATAAAAAAAAAGTCTACATTCTGACCAGACTTGGGAAGCGTTTTTAAAATAATATTTAATAGCTTTCACATTCATAAAATATTAAAAACAATTGGTTGTAAATCATTTTTTTTTTTAAATTTATGATTTATATAGCAACATATTACAAAAAAATTTGGCATATTATAGACTGGTAGTAGCACACACACACAAATAGAGTTAAAAAATTAATAAATTATAAAGTAAAATTATTTACTTTTGTAGTTGAATACTTTTATCATATCAAATTTAATTCGACAATAAATAATTTAAGAATATTAAAAATTAATGATTTTAATTGTTTGTATGGAAAAAGCTGGTTAAGCTACTTTTTATCTGAATAAGGAATATTTTTTTGATTTTTAAGAGTAATAACTTAAACTAATCATTAACTTAAATGAATCATTTGANTTAAACTAATCATTAACTTAAATATCATAAACTTAAATGAATCATTTGACGTATCGTTGAAAAAAGTAGGTCTAGTGAGGGTTGGCAAAATAAATCGTAGCCCGCAAAAGAACCACATAGTAAAATAATATTAACATGAATATCAATTTCTTCTCACGAGGGGAGACTATAGTGATAAGATCCTTTATATTTATTGAAATTATTGAATCTAAATGAGATAAATATCAAATGATTTGAAAATTCTATTCTAACTCAAAAAAAAAATGCAAAATTTTAAAAGCCACAGACAGTTTTGAACCTCGTACCCTAGGCGTGAAAGATCAAGGTGTTACCCATTTGGCAACTGTTCGTTGCTTTTTGTTGCATGATAAAATTGGCTATTTAATAAGTTGACTGCCTTGAGTATCATACATGATACACGGCGTAGTTTTGTATAGTGCCCCTCTCATTTAGGTTAACTTGCCATTCTCGCTTTGAGAATCACATTCGATTCTCACTGTTCTAACGATTGTTGCCCAAATATAATTTAGAAGTTGTTGTCAGTTGCCCATATGATTTATGTGTATAAAATTATGATATTTGTACATCATTTTTTTCTTCCATGATATAAAATCGAATTTTGGTAATATTCAATCGATAATAGATGAGTATCACATTTGATACTCAGGCCCCACATTGATCAACTCACACACGTGCCTCGTATTATCAGTTTACGTGAACTGAGTGTTTTTTTTTTAATTACTATATGAATGATTAATTACTATATTAATTACATATGAATGAAAATAGCATAAATAATATTTTAGAAAATTTATCCGATTGGTCTGGCTATGACACGGATAGTGATTTGGAAAATGAAGATCTTGGGTTGGAGGTAAGAAAATTAATATACTATGATTTTGTTGAATCCATCTTCTGTATATTATTTCTCTTATAATTTAATTGAAATATTTGTTTACTTATAGAATGGTAATATTGCATCAATTTCTGAAAATGTGCAGTCAACTGCAAAACAAAGTAACGGTCAACATTCAGAGCCTATTTGGGTGGATGTTGATGAAGAATTACAGCCTCAGTTTATATTCAATCAAATGGATGAACCAGTTGGTATTAATCCAGATATAATTGATAGTTTATCTGAAGGTACTCCTTTTGATTTTTATTCATTATTTTTGGATGATGAAGTTATTCAATTATTAGTTGAAGAAACAAACAGATATGCTGCAGAGTTATTAATATCTGTAGTTAGTCCTCATTCACGCCTTAAAAAATGGGAAAATGTTACTCATACTGAAATGAAAACATTCTTAGGAATTATTATGTGGATGGGTTTATGTCCTCAACCTTCCATAGCTTCATACTGGAAAACAAATAGTATTATTTATACATCCAATATACCTCAATTTATGAAGAGAAAAAGATTTGAACTTCTTTTGAGAACATTTCACTGCTGCAATAATGCTCTTTGTCCTCCAGGTGACCGTTTATACAAAGTAAATAATTTGCTTGATTTACTTTTATCAAAGTTTAAAATGGCACGGACCCCAAAGCAGTCTATGTGTATTGACGAGTCAATAATTCCATTTACTGGTCGTCTGTCATTTAAGCAATATATACAAAATAAAGCTCATAAATATGGTATTAAAGTATTTAAACTATGCATTAATAACTTCTACACTATTGGGTTTAAAATTTATGCTGGTAAGGAGGCTATGGCTGGTCAGAGAGTGTCAACAAAAGTGGTAATGGAAATGGCAGAAGATTACCTTGATTTAGGCAGAACAATGTATACAGATAATTGGTACAGTAGTTATGATTTGGCTAGTGAACTTTTGAACAGATCTACTAATTTGGTTGGTACTCTTCGTTCCAACAGAAAATGTAATCCAAAAGATGTGGTAAACAAAAAACTAAAAAAAGGAGAAGTGTTTGCAAAGCAATGTAATAAAGGAATAACTGTTTTAAAATGGAAAGATAAGCGTGATGTACTAATGATATCAACTCAACACTCCGATGCTCAAGCTACTATTTTAAATAAACGAGGAAAAGAAGTTAAAAAACCTCAAGTTATTATAGATTATAATAAAGGTAAAGGGTTAGTGGATGTCACTGATCTTAGAAATTCATACCACAACCCACTTCGTAGAACTTTAAAGTGGTATAAAAAAATTATTTTTGAATTACTTCTAAACACATCAGTTCTCAACGCATTATCATTATATGAAGAAATACATCAAGAGAAAATGGATATTACTGTGTTTAGAGAAATACTGGTTAAAAGTTTATTAAAAACAAATGAAATGAATTTGTCTAAATCAGTACAAAATACACAATATCATGAACTAGAAAAAGTTAAATCAAGAGGACGTTGTTTTGTTTGCTATAAAGAAATGATGCTTCAAGGAGGACGCACTCATGCTCAAAAAATAACCAGGCAAGTAACAACAAAGTGTAAAATTTGCAGTAAATTTTTTTGTATGCAATGTTTCTTCAGTGAACATAAATTTGTGTAAAAGTAAGTTTATAGTCAATTATACACTAATCAAGTGTCTATGTATATACTTAATTTTACTTTATTGAATTTACCAAATTGGCCTAAGGAAGTTCCTACAAGTGTTTTTATACTTATTAAATTTGTTTTAATTGTTATGTACTTGTATATTTTTATATATTTGTTATTAATTTTTTTGTATGCAATATTTCTTCAGTCAACAGTAGGTTGTGAAATAGTTGGTTGATAGTCAATTGTACACTAATCAAATATTTATGTATACACTTAATTTTACTTCTTTAAAATTGTTAAATAAATTGTCCAAAGGAAGTTCCTATAAATGTTTTTATACTTGTTAAATTTGTTTTATTTGTTATGTATTTTAACAGATATATTAATATATTATTTTTATCATTAATTAAATATTTAAGATTTATTAATTAAACAAAAAAATGTTTATTTCATCTTTTATTATAGTATTTTATAGTTAATAAATGTTTCAATTTTAAAATGAGAATAAAATGGGAAGAAATGCAAATTGGGTCTAGTTTAAAAAATAATAATAGTTTTGTGAATTAACTTTAATACTTAGAATTTATTTCATAAAAAAAATGAGTGAATAAATTATACTCAAAATAAGATTGGCAAGTTTATGTGAGAAGCATGTTTGATTCTCAGGGGCAGATTAGAAAGGCAAGATAAAAAAGTGAAGTCAGTAAACAAAAAGCGGTTGTGTATCGAATATGATACTCAAAGCGAGATTGATAAGTTCAAAGAAAACGGTAAGGCAGTCAACTTGTTAAGCTAACTCAAATTTAAAAATTACTTTTTCGACTTTAAAAAAGTAAAAAAATTTTAATAAGTTTAATTTCATATGTCTTATGAACTTTATTCTATGTCAATGATATTATATAATATTCATGAAAGTCAGTTTATTCCCCTAATAAGATATTTTAAAATAAAATAAAATACAAAACCCAGAATTTTAATAAAAAAAATAGCATATTTTTGATTACGGTAGCCTTTTGCGCATGGAAGACCTATCTTCCATGCGCATTTTTCGAAAAGTTATAGCATTCTTAAGTTGAAAATTAAAAATCGAAAATCGAAAATTTTAACACAAAAATAGTGTTTTTTTAACTACGGCAACCGTTTACATGCAGAAGATAAAGTGTCGGGACAAATTTTTTTTTTTCATTTTATAGTACATAAAATAAGCTTTAATTTGATATATGTTTAAAGGACGCAGTATTTCCGGAACATTTTCAAAAATTAAGTTGAAAAAGTTAGTTTTTGTAAAAAAGTTGCTATTTTAAATCCCCCCTGTGAGCAGAATAAGTGTTAGATTTTCAAAAAAAAATGATATCAAATGAAAGAAAATTACCTAAGGTTTCAATATAAAGAAATATTATTTTGATTAGTTAATATTTGAAAAAGTTATGGCAGTTTTAAGTACAAAAAACATCGTTATAAAAGGTGATTTTTATCGCAAATATTACATTTTTTTTATAATTTCGACTGCCATTTGCACATAGAAGATAAGGTGTCGGGACAAATTTTTTTTTTTCATTTTATAGTACATAAAAAAAGCTTTAATTTGATATATGTTTAAAGGACGCAGTATTTCCGGAACATTTTCAAAAGTTCAGTTGAAAAAGTTCTATTTTTTATACAATGTTTCAAAGTTTGAACCCCCCCTATATAAGGGGAAATTGTCTAATTTTAATAAAAAGTATGTCAAATGGAAGATGTACTTATAATGTATTTAGAAAAAAAAATTGTGCTGATACATACATTTTTCGAAAAGTTATAGCATTCTTAAGTTGAAAATTAAAAATCGAAAATTTTAACACAAAAATAGTGTTTTTTTAACTACGGCAACGGTTTACATGCAGAAGATAAAGTGTCGGGACCAATTTTTTTTTTTCATTTTATAGTACATAAAATAAGCTTTAATTTGATATATGTTTAAAGGACGCAGTATTTCCGGAACATTTTCAAAAATTAAGTTGAAAAAATTAGTTTTTGTAAAATAGTTGCAATTTTAAATCCCCCCCCCCATGAGCAGGTTAAGTGTTAAATTTTCAAAAAAATTATGTCAAATGAAAGGAAAATATCTGAGGTTTTAGTTTAAAAAAAAATGATGTTGATTTGTTGATTTTTGAAAAAGTTATGGAAGTTTTAAGAAAAAAAAGTAATAAAAATGACAAAATTTGTCGATTTTTAAATTTGTAATTTTTTTGGATATTTCCCCCATTTGCGGGGAACGAGGGAAAATTTTTAAATTTTTAAGGGTAATGTCTTCAACTAGATACAATTTGTGATCTTTTGACGTATTGTTAAAAGAAATCGGTCCAGTGAGAGCTGAGAAAAAGT